CGGCTGCGCGCCCGGTTCTAGCTATATCCTGTGGTCCTCGGGTCGTTCGGGTGGCAGTCTAGGTGCCAGATCGTCGTGGAAGATGTCGGGGAACGATCAAATCAGCTCCACTAAATCAAGTAGTACCGATGCACACAGCTTCTCGATGTCTTGTCCGTCGGTGTCGGGTGCCAACTCGCGCAAGCAAACAGCGAACAATTGCGCGCCATGGTTGAAGTGGCGAGCTATAGTGATAGCTTTTACGCACAAGGCTTAGACTTAGTAGATGTCCAAGCACGCAGTTTAATAAGCTCCTCGTACTTGCTGATGCTGCATGATCACGTTGTCCAGTCGATGACGGGGTTGTGCAGTCGCAGCCATTTACGTCCTAGTAGCACGTCGCAGCCATCCAGCGATGTCGCAAGAAACTTCATGCTAAAGCCAAAATCGTTGCCGCATTCGATCCGCACCGTCCGTGTTTCCTCCAGAATCGCCTGAGGCGTCCCATCCACGAGGCGAGCGTCAATTTCAGGCAGGCACCTGTCAAGTTGAGAAAATGAACGAGAGTGAATTGACTAAGGGAAAGTTGGGTACAAGTACAAACCCTAGAAAGTCGTACCCCATATGTGCCACCCCACTATAGCCTACAACAGCTATGTCATATAAATATGACACACCCCCATAGGCAAAGTGGGGAGAACAAGGGGTCACAAGACCAGTCAAGCAAAGCAAAGCAAGCTCAGGGTGGATCACAAAGTCACCACACATTCCGAGCACAAGTTCAAGGCCACAATGCGAGTTCACATGCAGAATTTCATATATATATAAGGCTCAAGAGCAAGGGTATATATATATGAAACAGTACAAACAAGGTCAAGGGGTGAGCAAGTGAGGGAAGGCAGGCACAAGACCCAGCTAAGTACAGAAGCGCTAATGATCACAACGCGCAAGCGCCTTGGTGAAGATATCAGCAATGTTGGCCTCAGAGGCCACATACGCAAGGCGCAGCTGACCACGCTGCTGTAGCTCACGATCAAGGAAGTAGCGAAGAGCAATGTGCTTCGTTCTGTGCTCCAGTCTCTACTCCCAACACAAGGCCAGCATGGCCTTGTTGTCTACGTACAGCACTGGAGGAGAACGAGGGGGCTCTCCGAGGCCAGTCAGCAGGTAGGTGAGCCAGCGAAGCTCCTGTGCAGCCATGGCTCCTCCGTAGATCTCAGCCTCACAACTAGAGCCGAGAACAGAAGACGAGCGGGTAGCTCGCCACGAAACAGAGCCAGAACCAAGGCTGAAGGTGTAACCCTGTGACGACCGTTGCGTAGCCTGGTCGTCAGCCCAAGAAGCGTCTGCGTGCCCAGTAAGGACCACTGGACTTTGCCCTCCAAGCACAAGCCCCATGCCCGACGTACTGCACAAGTAGGGCAACACCCTCTTCGCTGTAGCCATATGCTCTGGTCTGTGTCTCCCAGGAGCCACATAGCAAGCGAGAATGCTAAGAGGGTATGCAAGGTCAGGTCGTGTGCAGGTCATCAGGTACATGAGGCAGCCAACAAGCTCTGGGTACGGGCCACTTGACTCTACGGACTCATCCGAAGGCAAAGCTGAGTGCGAGTGGCAAGTAGGTAGAGGAGTGGCCTGAGGCGAGGAGTACGTGAAGCCGGAGCGCTGAAGGACCTGCTGCACCATGTGTGACTGAGTCAGGGTAATGGTGCGGCGTGCTCTGTCCCGGGTGATCTGCAGGCCAAGATAGCTGCGCAGTTCACCCAGGTCTGTGCACGTGTGTCTCTTCTGCAGCTCGGACTTCACGTGGGCGAGTCAAGCAGTGTCAGCAGTAGCAAAAACCAAGTCGTCAATGTACACGAGGATGTAGAACGGTGGCAAAGAAGTGTCGGTGCGCAGAAACAGCGACGGGTTGGCAGTAGAGGGAGCAAACCCAAGAGCCGCAAGTGTAGTCCTCAGTGTGTCGTGCCACTCAAGCGGTGCCTGGCGGCGACCGCAGACTGGCCGCCGGAGGCTCTACTGGGTGCAAAGAGGAAAAGACCCAGTGAAGCTAGGTGGGCGACGCACCCAGATCTCCTCGTGCAGCCTGCCCTGCAAGAAAGCAGTGCTGAAGTCAAAAGAGTGCAGCTCGTAGTCACGGTGAGCAGCAACGTGCAGCACTACCCGAAGAGTGGTCATCTTCGGGGTGGGAGAGAAGGTATGAAAGTAGTCAACTCCCTGCCGCTAATTGAAGCCACGAGCCACGTAACGCGCCTTGAAGACAGGCTGAGAACCCGGCGGCCGCATCACCCTGGAAATCCACATGCCATTGACGATGTTGGCCCCATGCGGGGGATCCTCGTCAACATAGGTGTCTGTGGACTTCCACGAAGCCATCTCTGTGTCCATAGTTGCCTGCCAGTGAGAGGAGTAGGGACCCTCTATCGCCTCCGCGTAAGAGCGCGGAGTCGGGATGTCTAGTGCATCCGGGTCTCCCTCAGGGGTAAGCAGTACGGACACGAGATGAGGTGAAGCAGCAGCAAAGCACTGGAAATCCTCCTGCTTGTCCTCAAGGACGTCCGTGCCAGAGGCACACTCACCCTCGACGGACGGAGGACAGACAAACTCAGACTCAGCGACAAGGCTAGCAGCGTAGTCTAGACGACAGCGAGCAACAAAGTCGAGGAGCTCACCAACTAGGGCAGACGCAGCAGCGGACTCAAAGGAAGGGTTGGTGACGACAGTAGCAAGGAGACGCGTGACAGTAGGACTGGTAGCACGAAAAGAGTCCAACTCCAGGTCGGCAAGAGCAGGAAGAGAGGACTAAGGAGGAGAAGGCAAAGGGGCAAGCAGAGGGGCAGTGGACAGACGCAGATACATCCGGTGCGCGCCAGGGACAAGAGGAGGACGCTGACGCGAACCACGACCACTAGTGTGAGCAGGACGGACAGGCGACGCAGGGCGAGACGCAGGCTCACGACGCTCAGCAAGACCTCCTGTAGGAAGAGTGTAGGGAGAAGGAGCAGGCAGTGGGGAGGCCGGCTGTAACTGTAACTGTGACGGGACAAGCTGTGGACACTCTAAGGGAGGAGGAGGACCAATAGAAGGCGGAAGACCATGAACCTTGTGAAGGAGCAGAACGATGTACGGTCGAGGCCGCGCGTGTCAAAACATTATAGCTTATGCTTTTGTGTAGTGGGGTAGCCAATATGGGTTACAACCCAATTAGGGTTAGTACTTGTACCCAACTCTTTCATAGTGCATTCATTCTCGTTTCAGTTTTCTCATGGTATCGAGCAGGTTCCCTTGTGGGAACTGTTCCTAGGACCCACTAATTCAATTTTTTTTCCTGCCCGGAGCGCGCATAGCCCTTGCCCGAGTCGCGCTCCCCCTTTCTCAGTGTGTCGCGCTGCCCTAGCGGCTGTGTCGCGCCGCCCTTGACAGCCCCAATCCTCCACCTTAGCGGCCCCATCGCCTACCGTGCGGCCCTCGAGCTGCCCTTCCCAGCCCCAATTCGCCGCCCTTTCAGCCCCGTCGCCTACCCCGCGGCCCTCGCGCCGCCCTTCCCGACCCGGCCCCGCCCTTGCTGGCCTCGTCGCCTACCTGCACCCCCGACGACTACCTGCGGCCCCGTCGCCTACCTGCGTCCCCTTCCCCTACCTGCGGCCCCGACGCCTACCTGAGGCCCCGTCGCCTGCCTGCGGCCCCGTCGCCTTCTTGCGGCCCTAGCGCTGCCCTGCACAGCCAAGACGCTGCCCTTCGCGACCTGGCCCCGCCCCTGCTGGCCCCGTCGCCTAGCCGTGTGGCCTCATCGCTGCCCTTCGGGGCTCAGGCGCAGCCCTTTCTTGGCCCCAACGACGCCCTTCCCGACCCGACCCAGCCTTCACGCGGCCTCGCCGAGCTACTGCCGAGCCGCCAACGCCACCCGATCTGCTCGAGCCGCCGCACCACCTGAGTCGCCCGAGCCGCTGTCCCGCCGAGCCGCCTGGGACGCCCGAGCCGCCCGAGCCGCCCGAGCCGCCGTCGCGCCGAGCCGCTTGAGCAGCTCGAGTCACCTGAGCCGCCCGAGCCGCCCGAGCCACTCGAGCTGTAGAGTAGCCAAGCCGCCGAGCTGCAGTTCCTGCCGAGCTGCCGAGCCGCCCGAGCCGCCCTGTTCGGTAAGAGCAGCGCCTCTTTCACTGCACTGCCCTTACCCCACTGTTCGCGCTACTAGTCTACTGCTGTCATGGCTACCCCTAGTGTCCTCGCTTTTGCACTGAGGGTCGGGCCATTGACTTTGATGTCTGGGTAGATGACCTGCAGCTTTTCCTACAGTGCGATAGGGCGGACGGTCTCTCCCTCTTTGACCTCACCTCTGGTGCCTCTCCTGCCCCTGCTGCTGATGCTGACGCCACTGTTCGCTCACAGTGGGCCACACGCGATGCTGCTGCACGTCTTGCTGTGCGGCTCCACCTGCCTACCTCTGAGCGTGCGCACTTTAGCCAATACAAGAGTGCTCAGACCTTGTACGACGCTGTAGTTGCACGCTACTCCTCCCCTGCCACTGTTGCACTGAGCCGCCTCATGCTACCGTACCTCTTCCCTGACCTTGCTGCCTTTCCCACAGTCACTGCGCACTAGTGACACTTGCTACCGCGCTGCGCTTTCCGCTGACCTCTTCCCCTACCTTTCCCCACTAGTGACACTCGCTACCGCGCTGCGCTTCCTGCTGAGTTCTGCGCCAAGAACCCCACCCCCCATGTACATCACTCTCTACTACATAGTCACCCGCCTCCCTGACTCCCTTCACGTAGTCAAGGACCACTTCCTCTTAGTTTGCCCCACCACCCTCACCGTTGACCTCCTCGAGAAGGCCCTCCTAGCAGCGGAGAAGAGCATAGTCGCTATAGGAGCCTCTCGTGGTGACCCTTGCACCCCCATCTTTGACGGGTGTTCCCCCTCCCCTCTTTTGCCCTCTGTTGCCTCTGCTGCTGCGGCCGACCTCGTTGGGCTTGAGTCAGTCGGTGCGGCATCTCCCCCATGCGGGAGACGCCGCCCTGGCAATGGCAAGGGGGACAGGGGCGCTGGAGGAGCTAGCGGGGGCGGTGGAAGCGGCGGTGGAGGCGGGGGAGGGAGTGGGGGTGGCGGTGGGGGTGGTGGCGGGGGTGGAGGTGTCGCTGGCGGCAGTGGAGGCGGAGGCGGAGGTGGTGGCGGAGGTGGCGGCGGTGGAGGAGGTGGTGGCGGAGGAGGTGGAGCTGGTCTGGGTGGCGCTGCGCAAAGAACCGGCTCCGGTGGTGGTCTGCGCTAGCAGTAGCAGCAACAGCGCACTCCTGACATCCCCTCCCCTTAGCAGCTCCGTGAGTGGTACGCTGCACGTCAACGGGGTGGGGGTACTGGTCCGTGCACCTACGTCCTACGCACCGGCGACCGCGCGGGTGAGCAGTGCAGGGGTGCGCACCCCACCCTGTGCTGCTTTGGCCGCCTGACGGACGCTTGGCGTCACCAGTTCCCGGAGGCCACGGAGATCCCCCGCTGGGGTGAGCTGTCTAGGGCGAGAGATGCTGTCTTTGACCTTGACTTTGATGCTATTCTTGCTGCCATGTATGCTGTGACTATGAGTGATGAGGGTGACTGTTACTAGTGTTTTCTGCCTGACCCGGGCATTGAGACTGCTGCTCTAGGTACTGGTGAGGCTGCTGCTCTAGGTGCTAGCAAGGCTGCTGCTCTAGGTGCTCGTGCGTTTGCTCCCTCAGCTGCTGGTGAGTCTGCTCTCTCAGGTACTGCGTCGGCTTTGGCCTCCCACACCTTCACCCTTGACTCGAGGGCTTCTCGCTCCTTATTTCGAGACCGCACCATACTCACGCCGCTTGGCCGGCCAGTTGCAGTCTCTCTGGCAAACCCCTCTGGGGGTCTTGTCCTTGCTCACTACTCCACTGTCCTCCCGTGTCTGGTCTTTACCTCCCCTTGTTCTCTATGAACTTGGTGGGTGGTGCTGACGTACAGGATGCGGGGGTTCACCAGTTCACTCCTGCGCGTCAGCGGGTGACACACTGCACGGACGCTTGGACAGGCCGACTCCTAGCCACGTTTACACGTCAGCCGGGGTCGAGCCTGTACACACTAACCACTACGTCTCCTCCAGTCACTGCGTCTGGTCAGGTAGCTGCGTCGGGTCAGGTGTTTGCTGCAGCATCCAGGTCTGGTCCTGAGTCTGCCCCCTGCTCGTGTCGCCTCCTGTCTCACGAGACTCTCCTCTGGCACCACCGCCTTGGTCACCCCTCCCTGCTTCGTCTCTGAAGCATGGCCTCCCGTGTCCTTGTCTCTGGTCTTCCCCGGTCCCTCCCTCCCCTTCCTTCTGGGCCAAGCCCTACCTGCGTCCCTTGTGTCAAGGGGCGGCAGCGGGCTGCCCCTCACTTCTCCCAGTTTCCTCCGACAGAGGCCCCGCTGCAGACGCTTCACATGGACGTGTGGGGCCCAGCCCGTGTCCGTGGACAGGGTCACGAGCGCTACTTCCTGCTGGTGGTTGACGACTACTCGCGTTACACCACAGTCTTCCCCTTGCGCAGCAAGGGTGATGTCATTGCGGTGTTGATTGAGTGGATCCGCGCAGCTCATCTCCAACTCAGGCAGAGCTTCGGCTTGGAATTTCCTGTTTTGCGTTTGCACTCTCACAGAGGCGGAGAGTTCTCCTCTGGCCTTCAGCGAGCCTACTATCGTGCACGAGGCATCCGCCAGACCTTCACACTTCCAGACTCTCCTCAAAAAAATGGGATTGCTGAGTGCCGCATTGGCATAGTCATGGATGTCGCTCGTACGTCCATGATACATGCGGCTGCCCCCCATTTTCTGAGGACGTTAGTGGTTCGGTACGCAGCGCATCAGATGAACCTTCACCCCAGGGTCTCCATGCCGGAGACCTTCCCATCTTTGCTGTGGACGGGGAAGGTTGGCGATGCGTCTGCGTTCCGTGTCTGGGAATCTCGGGCGTTTGATCGCGACTTGTCTGCGGACAAGCTGTCCCATCGTGCTGCTCCTTGCGTCTTCCTTGGCTTCCCCCCTGAAGCGCCAGGGTGGCAGTTCTACCACCCCACCTCGCGCCGTGTTCTGTCCTCCGAGGACAACAGGTTTGACGAGTCAGTCCCCTACTACCGCCTCTTCCCCTACCGCACTCCGTCCCTCCCCCCGCCACCTCTTTTCCTTGTACCAGGTCCCCCCCTGGTAGACCCCCTCCCCCCTCAGGGTACTGCCCCTTCAGGTGTGTCCCGGGTAGACGCAGTCAAGCCCGTCAAGGTTACTGGTCACTCTTGTGCTGCTAAGGGTGCTGAGCTTGGGGTTGCTAACTCTGGGGGTGCTGAGCGTGTGGGTGCTGCGCCTGGGGGTGCTGAGCCTGCGGGTGCTAATACTGGGGGTGTTGAGCCTGGGGGTGTTGCGACTGGGGGTGCTGAGCTTGCGGGTGTTGAGCCTGGGGGTGCTACGCCCGGGGGTTCTGAGCCTGGGGGTGCTACGCCTGGAGGTGCTGAGCCTGGAGGAGCGGAGCCTGAGGGAGTTGGGCCTACTCGTGTGGCGTCTGGCAGTGCTGGGCCTGGAGGTTCTCCGGGTGCTTCATCTCGACGGGAGCCCCTCTCTCAACAGGGGCTGCGTGAATGGTTTGCCCGGCGCTGGAGGCGTGCTGCTGGAGCTGGAGGTTCTCCGACTGCTGAGGGTGCTGGTGCCGCGGGACCCGGAGGTGCTCGTGCGGGGTGTACTGGAGCTGCTGGGCTTGCGGGTGCGACTGGAGCTGGAGCTGCAGAGGTTGTTGGCGCTGAGGCTACTGCTGTCGATCCTGGAGGCGGTCTAGCTGGGGGTACTACTGGTGCTGCTGGAGGTACTGGAGCTGGAGGTGCTCCTGGCGCTGGTGCTGCCGCTGGGGGTGCTGGTGTTGTCCCTGCTGTGTCTAAAGTCGCCGCGCGGCCTCGGCTGTACTTTGTTCCACTCCTTCAGCAGGTTCTTGGTCTCCCGCCTTCTACTGGTCCTCCTCCTCCCTTAGAGTGTCCACAACCTGTCCCGTCACAGTTACAGTTACAGCCGTCCTCCCCTCTCCTTGCTCCTTCTCCCTACACTGGTCCTACTGGAGGTCTTTCTGAGCGTCGTGAGCCTGCGTCTCGCCCTCCGTCGCTTGTCTGTGCTGCTCACATTAGTGGTCATGGTTCACGTCAGCGTCCTCCTCCTGTCCCTGGCACGCAGTGGATGTCTCTACGTCCGTCCACTGCTCCTCTTCGTGCCCCTTAGCCTTCTCCTCCTTAGTCCTCTCTTCCTGCTCTTGCCGACCCTGAGTCGGACTCCCTTCGTGCTGCCCGTCCTTCTGTCACGCGTCTCCTTGCTACTGTCGTCACTGACCCTTCCTTTGAGTCCACTGTTGCGTCTGCCCTAGTTGGTGAGCTCGTCGACTTTGCTGCTCGCTGTCGTCTAGACTACGCTGCTAGTCTTATCGCTGAGTCTGAGTCTGTATGTCCTCCGTCCGTCACGGGTGAGTGTGCCCTTGGCACGGACGTCCTTGAGGACAGGCAGGAGCAGCTCCAGTGTTTGGCTGCTACTTCACCTCATCTCGTGTCCGTACTGCTTACCCCTGAGGGAGACCCTGATGCACTTGACATCCCGACTCCGCGCTCTTATGCGGAAGCGATAGAGGGTCCGTACTCCTCTCACTGGCAAGCAGCTATGGACACAGAGATGGCTTCCTAGAAGTCCACACGCACCTACGTTGACGAGGTTCCCCCGCCTGGGGCGAATATCGTCAGTGGCATGTGGATTTTCAGGGTGAAGCGGCCGCCTATCTTCAAGGCGCGTTACGTGGCTCGAGGCTTCAGTTAGCGGCAGGGAGTTGACTACTTTCAGACCTTCTCTCCCACCCCGAACATGACCACTCTTCGGGTACTGCTGCACGTTGCTGCTCACCGTGACTACGAGCTGCACTCTCTTGACTTCAGCACTGCTTTCTTGCAGAGCAGATTGCATGAGGAGATCTGGCTGCGTCGCCCACCTGGCTTCACTCGGTCTTTTCCTCCTGGCATCCAGTGGAGCCTCCGGCGGCCATTCTACGGTCTCCGCCAGGCACCGCGTGAGTGGCACGACACACTGACCCGTCGGTGTTTCTGCGCACCTACACTTCTTTGCCGTCGTTCTACATCCTCGTGTACGTCGACGACTTGGTCTTTGCCACAGCTGACACTGCTGGACTCGCCCACGTGAATTCCGAGCTGCAGAAGAGACACACGTGCACAGACTTGGGTGAACTGCGCAGCTACCTTGGCTTGCAGATCACCCGGGACAGAGCACGCCGCACCATTACCCTGACTCAGTCACACATGGTGCAACAGGTCCTTCAGCGCTTCGGCTTCACGTACTCCTCGCCTCAGGCCACTCCTCTGCCTACTCGCCACTCGCTCTCAGCTCTGCCTTCAGATGAGTTAGTAGAGTCGAGTGGCTCGTACCTAGAGCTTGTTGGCTGCCTAATGTACCTGATGATCTGCACTCGACCTGACCCTACATACCCTCTTAGCATTCTCGCACGCTATGTTGCTCCTCGGAGACACAGACCGGAGCATATGGCTGCAGCGAAGAGTGTGTTGCGCTACTTGTGCCGTACGTCGGGCATGGGGCTGGTGCTTGGAGGGAAGAGTTTAGTGATCCTCACTGGGCACGCAGACCCTTCTTGGGCTGATGACCAGGCTACGCAGCGGTCGTCACAGGGTTACACCTTCAGCCTTGGTTCCGGCTCTGTTTCGTGGCGGGCTACCTGCTCGTCTTCCGTTCTCGGCTCCAGTTGTGAGGCTCAGATCTACGCTGGGGCCATGGCTGCACAGGAGCTTCGCTGGCTCACCTACCTGCTCACTGACCTCGGAGAGCCGCCTCGTTCTCCTCCAGTGCTGTACGTAGACAACAAGGCCATGCTGGCCTTGTGTCAAGAGCAGAGACTAGAGCACAGAACGAAGCACATTGCTCTCCGCTACTTCCTTGCTCGTGCGCAGCAGCAGTGTGGTCAGCTGCGTCTTGCGTCCTTGGCCTCTGAGGCCAACACTGCTGATATCTTCACCAAGGCGCTTGCGCCTTGTGATCATCAGCGAATCTGTACTCAGCTGGGTCTTGTGCCTGCCTTGCCTCACTTGCTCACCTCTTGACCTTGCTTCTACTGTTACAAATATATATATATATACACCTGCTCTTACTTGTCTAACCTTTTATATATATATGTACTCCTGCATGTGAGCTGGCCTTGTGACCTTGTGCTCAAAATGTGTGGTGACTTTGTGATCCACCCTGAGCTTGCATTGCTTTGCTTTGCTTGACTGGTCTTGTGACCCCTTGTACTCCCCCACTTTTCCTATGGGGGTGTGTCTGAACATTAATGCTATTTCTTTTGTGTAGGCTGTAGTGGGGTAGCCCATATGGGGTACAACCCAATTAGGGTTAGTACTAGTACCCAACTCTTTCATAGTGCATTCATCCTCCTTTCAGGTTTCTCAGCGCGGCGACTTAAGACACCAGTACCCCCAGTGGTAGCACCGCCGCCAGCAGCACCTCCAGCTCCAGCACCCCCAGCAGCTCCCGTAGCTCCAGGACCTCCAGCAGCACCAGTAGCACCCCCACCACGACCGCCTCCAGGTCCGACAGCAGTAGCCTCAGCGCCAACACCCTTAGCAGCTCCAGCTCAGTTGTACACGCAGGCCCAGCAGCTCCAGTACTCCCAGTACGAGAACCTGCGGGGCCCGCGACACCAGCACCCTCATTAGCCGAAGAACCTTCAGCTCCAGCAGCTCACCTCCAGCGCCGGGTAAACCACTCGCGCAGCTCCTGAGGAGAGAGTGGCTCCCGCCGAGACGAAGCACCCGGAGAACCTCCACGCACAGTACCGCCAGATGCGACACGAGCGGGCCCACCTCCCTCAGGCTCCACACCCCCAAGCTCAGCACCTCCAAGTGTAGCACCCCCAAGCTCAGCACCCCCAGTTGTAGCACCCCCACGCTCAGCACCCACAGGCGTAGCACCCCCAGGCTCAACATCCCCACGCTCACCACCCCCAGACTCAGCACCCCCAGTTGTAGCACCCTCAGGCTTAGCACCCCCACGCGCAGCACCCACACGATCAGCACCCCCAGAGTCAGCACCCCCAGGCTCAGCACCCTCAGCAGCACCAGCCACGCACACGCATCGCCAGCCTTCCCCGTCCACAGCAAAGCAGGGGAGGTCTCCGGCATGGAGACCCTTGGCTGAAGGTTGATCTGATGCGTCGCGTACCGAATCGCAAACAGCCACAGAAAATGGGGGGCAGTCGCATGCATCATGGACGTACGGGCGACGTCCATGACCATGCCAATGCGGCGCTCAGCAATCCCATTTTGCTGTGGAGATTCCGGAAGCGTGAAGGTCTGGTGCATGCCTCGTGCACAATAGTAGGCTCGCAGAAGGCCAGAGGAGAACTCTCCACCTCTGTCAGAGTGCAGACGCAGAACAGGAAAGTCCGAGCCGAAGCTCTGCCTGAGCTGGAGACGAGCTGCACGGATCCAGTCGATCAACACCTCAGTGACATCACCCTTGCTGCGCAAGGGGGAGACTGTGGTGTAACGCGAGTAGTCGTCAACCACCAGCAAGAAGTAGCGCTCGTGACACTGTCCACGCACGCGGGCTAGGCCCCACACGTCCATGTGAAGCGTCTGCAGCGGGGCCTCTGTAAAAAAAAATTGGGAGGAGTGAGGGGCAGCACGCTGCCGCCCCTCGACGCAAGGGACGCGGGCACGGGCAGGCCCCGGGGAAATGGGAGGGAGGGAACTGGGAAGACCAGAGACAAGGACACGGGAAGCCATGCCTCGGAGACGAAGCAGGGAGGGGTGACCAAGGTGGTGGTGCCAGAGGAGAGTCTCGTGAGACAGGAGGCGACACGAGCAGGGGGCAGACTCAGGACCAGACCTGGACGCTGCACCAAACACTTGACCCGACGCATCTACCTGACCAGACGCAGTGACAGGAGGAGACTCAGTGGTCAGTGTGTACAGGCTCGACCCCGGCCGACGTGTAAACGTGGCCAGGTGTCGGCCTGTGTGTGCGTCCGTGCAGTGTGTCACCCGTTGACTCGCTGGAGTGAAGTGGTGAACCCGCGCATCCTGTAGGTCAGCACCACTCACCAAGTTCGTAGAGAACGAGGGGAGGTTAAGACCAGACAAGGTGCCAGAGGGAGCCGCCGGACACGGGAGGACAGTGGAGAAGTGAGCAAGGACAAGAACCCCAGAGGGGTCTGCCAGAGAGACTGCAACTGGCCGACCAAGCGGCGTGAGTGTGGTGCGGTCTCGAAAGAAGGAGCGAGAAGCCCTTGAGTCAAGGGTGAAGCTGTGGGAGGCCAAAGCCGACGCGGTACCTGAGAGAGCAGACTTACTAGCAACTGAGGAAGCAGACGCACTGGCACCTAGAGCAACAGCCTGGCTAGCACCGAGAGCGCCACCCTCACCAGTACCTAGAGCAGCAGTCTCAATGCCCGGGTCGGGCGGAAGAATAGTCACCCTCATCACTAATAGTCACAGCATACATGGCAGCAAGAATAGCATCAAAGTCAAGGTCAAAGATAGCTTCTCCCGCCCTAGACAGCTCGCCCCAGCGAGGGATCTCAGTGGCCTAAGGGAACTTGTGACGCCAAGCGTCCGTCAGGCGGCCAAAGCGGCGCTGGGTGGAGTGCGCACCCCCGCACCGCTCACCCGCGCAGTCGCCGGTGCGTACGACGTAGGTGCACGGACCAGTACCCCCACCCCGCTGGCGTGCAGCGTACCACTCACGGAGCTGCTGAGGGGGGGGAATGTTACGAGTGCGCTGCTGCTGCTGGCGCTGACCACCACCGTAGCCGACCCTCTCTGTAGCGCCACCCCGATCGACTCCGCCTCCTCCGCCGCCGCCTCCTCCTCCGCCGCCACTTCCGCCACCTCCGCCCCCACCGCCACCGCCACCCCCGCCACCACTCTCACCACTACCTCCACCCCATCCACTGCCGCCAAAGCCACCTCCGCCACCTCCGCTAGCCCCTCCAGCGCCCTTGCCCCCCTTGCCCTTGCCGGTGCAGGGTCTCCCGCTCGGGGCAGACTTAGCGCCGACCGAATCGAAACCAACGAGGTCGGCCGCAGCACCAGAGGCAACAGAGGGCCAAAGGGGGGAGGGGGAACACCCCTCAAAGATGGGGGTGCGAGGGTCACCACGAGAGGCTCCTACAGCGACTATGCTCAACGGTGAGAGTGGTGGGGCAAACTGAGAGGAAGTGGTCCCTG